TTGCAGAGAGCCTCAAACGTGCAAATTTTGGTGGCTTCAGGATCAGCTCTCTTACTCGGTTCCAGGTGCTCATCAATTTTTCAGAAGAAGAAGATTATTACAGACTCCTTACTAAGCGGAGCTGGAAGGTTTTGGATGGCAGGTTGTATCTCTCCAAATGGTCTCCTTCATACTTACAATCTAAAGAAAGCCCTCTCTTCCCTATTTGGGCTACTATCAAGCAAATTCCCATACACCTTCAAGATCCTAGAGCTCCTCTTCCCATTACGAGGCTTATTGGAATACCTATCAAAATGGACGAGCGTACAGTTCAGGCAGAATATTTGAACACTGCTAGGGTTCTGGTAGATGTCGATCTCTCTAAGCAACTTCCTAGCAAGATTAAGGTCAGAATTGGGGAAACAATTAACTTCTTTCCGGTTAGTTTCCAGGATGTGCCCATTTTTTGCTCTAAATGTAGCAGGTTTGGACACTCTTGCTATACTGGGAAAATCCCCTCCAACGAGCCCACCGGAAAAATCCTCACCAGTGGGAATTTTCAGACCGGAGGTAATGGATGCCTTGACCACTCCAAGCACCAAGAGACAAAGGGGAAATGGGTCCTGGTAGAGCACAGAAAGAAAGCGCCAAAAGTGGGAAGGACCTCTTTTCAGAATGGGGGGTCGTGCAATAACATTATTATGCCCAAGCCATGTACTACTTTACAATTGGAAACAGCAGATCATGTGGACTCCTCCAAGGCCCACGCTGCAGGCACCTCACAGGTTCTTTCCCCTGTCCCCACACCTAGGCCCTCCCCTATCCATTCTTTGGCCCCATCCTTGGTGATAGTCACCGATCCCATCTCCCCCTTGGAAGACCATTTTCTCAAGAAGTATATGCATAAAGGAAGTAAGGATGACATGGCCGTATCCAAGGGAAACAGAGCCAGTGATGAATTCTTACAGCAAGTACTTGGTTTGAAGGAATCTAATCTTGAAGACATCAATGAAATTACTACTCATTCAGATCTTGATGAACATGAGGTTATGGATCAGTCCCCTCTTGAACCATTTGAACTCAATACACCAAAACCTGGGAGCCCAGGCCTTCTCATTACTAGAGGA